CGGACGTCCGGTATGGATTGTCCCGGTAAGGCAGAACTTTTTCTGCCTTTTGATTATCTTTTACTGGACATCCGATATATATAGCGGACATCCAGTAATGGAAAATTCCAGTTTTTAAAACTCGAATTCGCCCCTTTTCTTCTCCATTTTTCTTCTCTCTTCTCTTCATCCATTGTTCCCCTCTCCACTAACTCTCAAATTATCTCACAATCATCTCTCAAAAATCGATTCCCATTCACATTGGATCAAAATTTCGAATCTACAATTCGAACTCTTCATCGATTTCTCTTCCAAAACGAGCCCTAAATATCCAATCTCACTTCTTCCCTAACTTTTGCTCAAATTACACTATTAATCGCTCAAGTCTACTACTTTACAAGATTCTCTATCACTCTAGACCATCTATTCAAATATCCCAATCCACAATATCTCAAATCCCCTCTTCAAAAGCTATAACTCGAAAATCCTCCTTTTCAAGCAATTTTTTTGAAAATCCACATACTTATTTGAACAACGTCGACTTCTCGGGGCAGAGGCAAGCGCCTTAAGCAGACCGTTCGACGAGCTCCACCTTCATCATCTAAAGACGACATGGACTTTGAAATCGAGACGACGCCAACGAACTCCTTAGCAAAGGCACCCATTCTTTTAGGTAAAAATGTCGATCTCATCTATTTTTCCTTTGATGCCCCCGCATTTAGGATAGAAGAGCAAATCACGACTATGGGTTGGACTTCAATTTGCACAATTCACGAAAATGCATATCCGGACTTAATTTACACTTTTTACACAAATATGACTATTAATTCTCGTTCGAGAGATATTTCCTCTTTTGTCAAAAATATTCGTGTTAGTGTTTCCAAACCACTCATTCGTACTATCCTTGAGCTCGACCCTTGCGATATCCAAAAGTTTGAACATAAAACCCATCCTACGGTGGAGGGGTATAACCCGATCGACGCATGTCGCCGTGTAATGGGTAAAGATTTTGAAAAAATCACCAAAATTACAACAAACCAACTTACTCTCCCGTGCAAGGTTCTACAAAATATCATTGCAAATGTCATTTTACCTCGAAATGGTCATCGGGATGATGTAAACTGTTTTGATCTCTTTCTCCTCGACTCTTTCCTCGTCGGTCGGCGAGTTGATTTCCCGACTATTGCCTTAGGCCTTATGAAACTCATCCATTCCTCACGTATCTCCAAGGCACTTCCTTATGGCATGCTACTCACTAAGATTTTTCGACACTTTGAGGTTCCTCTTCACGAAGAAGCCTTTATTAAACCACGCCCCACCGACGCCATTAGTTCCAACACATTTAAATGAATGAAAATTGTTAATAAGGATGGACAATGGGTATCTCAAACTAAGGGATTTGATCCGGCTTCGGGGCCTTCTATCCTACCATTTGAAGAAGAGGACCTTGATGACGACGACGACGAAGAAGCACCTCCTACTGGCACCTTACGATCAAGAGCTTCCTAAACCGCTGGACGAGGATGTGACGAGGACCAGTTTGCACTTTTGAGTGGACGAATAGACTTTCTTACTACGACAGTTGAAGGGATGAGCGGTGAACTCCGTCACATACGAGCTCAGCAGGACACGATTATCGCCCAGCAGGATGCCATGCAGGATTAGATGACCGCTTTCTTTGCCGACATGCTTGCTCGATTTCCGCATCCTCCTCCTCCGGCATCGTAGTTTTTCATTGTTGTCTTAAAACTGCTTTCAAATATGGTTGAAAATTTTGATTATGTACTTAAACTATAAACTTTTTATGAAATGACTCTTCGCTGCTTTATTGCTTTCCTATCTATACTAAATTATTCATGTGTGGTTCAATACTTTCTGTTTATGCTAAAAGGGGGAAGAAGTAGAAAGAACAGATTTGCATGATTATATTTAAACATGGGGAATGCATGCTAAATACATAGGGAGAATGTGTGTATTTACTATCAATTTGTTTTGAATTATACATTGCAAATCATTGTGTTGTCATAATAAAAAATGGGGAAATTGTTGACCTATGGTTGACTTCTCATTTTGATTATCACAAACAAATTGTGTTTGTTACTAACAAATTGATTTCAAGTGTCAATAGCGATCTATTACACATGTTTTGATGGCACAAAGTTCAAGGCCAAAATATTTGCACACAATGGCTACTGTGGAAACATGATCAAACAATCGAGGCCATGAAGAATGATATTGCAAAATCCCGCAAAAAGTTGCCTCAAAGAAAATCGAGACACAAGTCGAAGTACCGTCAGCAATGTACGTCAAAATGTTCAATCTAAGTGCTTAGACGTTTCACAATTATATGTGAAGGTAAACCACATTAATACTTGGTAATGTAT